ACAAAACTGAACCCTGATCTCCTACCTCCTAAGGTGGGTGAACTCTCAGGAAGACACACAAGGAACTCTGAAAAGCTAAAAGCTACTAAGTACAGAACCAACAGATATAAGAACTCTCCAGTACCATACCTGGTTCGCATATTGAACAATTCCTCCAAATAATGTGTATCATATTTCTAGGGTGGTTAGTCTGTCCTCTAGTCTCAGTTATTTTGTATATTTTTGTGTAAGTACTTAATATATGTTTGTAATTGTTAGTTTTAATGTTAAAATTGTATCTGTTGTTTTTAAGTATGTCAATGTATAATGATATGGATTTTATTGAGTAACTAGTAATTTTAGTGTGTTATGCCAGACATGTCAAAAATCAAAATTGTACAGCAAGACACAATTTAGCTGATGGCTACAAGGTTTTGTTTTTACAAATAAACCATTTGATTGATTGATTGATTGATTGAACATCCCCCCATTGTATGCAGACAATCGTCTCTTTGATCTCAGTTTGAACAATAAGATAAAACACCTAACATGCATGTTGTTGTCTTTATCGTTATTGTCCAAGTGATTGTATCTTTATGTAATGATGTTGTCTGATTCCCCTATGCAAATCGACACATGTAAGGAATAATTTCCTTAGTTTCCTAATCAGGTAAAACCCATCGGACCGGTTTTATACATCCACTCAGTCCCTCTATAAACGCGTCCCTGACTGCTCTGTTTCTGTCAGTACTGACTCTGCAGCCGTGAGGATCTGTGTCGCCGTGAAAACAGCGTGCAGTACTTTGGAGCGTCTGTGCATCATTTGGTAAGTGATTTCATTTTCCTATATTTATTTATCTTAGACTACGGCCGTGTAATGCTTGATTCTTAGCATGCCAATCTCTGTATTTGAAGGCGTGTATGTGTCTGCATAGAACCAGACCCAGTAACTTTTTGTAAATCCGATGGCAGAGAATTGTCATTTGCGTCGTCCACATGTTGATTTACTTGTTACAATGTTCCCTGTGCTAGCCCTGCTCCTATTTTTTCCTTCAAAAAATCTGCCATCATTCAAATCATTCACAACTGTTGTTTATGAACCATAACATTTACGCATTTGTCAGTGTGCATGCAGTATACGCGTGAACACTGACAATTCCATTCATTCTACATATTGAATTGTACGTTATTCCTTTAGGATCAGCAGTTTGACCAACATGGCGACCAGAGCTGAATCTCACCTGAAACAAGAGGAGGGAGAGAGTGGGCATGGAAAGCAGGATTCTCCGCGTACCCACAAGTGTGACGAGTGCGGCAAGGAGTATCGCTTCCTGTGTCATCTGAATAGACACCTGCGGACTCACACGGGTGAGAAACCTTACCGATGTGAGGAATGTAACAAAGACTTCAGTCTGCTGAGTAATCTGAAGAAACACATGCGGATTCACACCGGTGAGAAACCTTACCGATGTGAGGAATGTAACAAAGGCTT